TGTCTCCCCGGGGACTGGCCCCCGCCGGGGCCGTGCCATCGCGGTCTGCTGGGCTTTGGCCCACTTCGCCCGGCTCGGGCGCCCGTCTGGCGCCAGCTCGAGCGTGATGCTTTTATGACTTTGAGGGGTCGGCCTCGCTTCGCTTCCCTTCAAACCACCCCCCTCCCCTCCCACCCTCATTAAGTCACCGGTCGCTCCGCACTCCGCAGATCAATGCCAGCTTCAGGATGGGTTTTGGTCGCCACAGCACCAGGGGAGAGCCACTGGCTCTTCATAGTGGTTTTAATAACAATTAAAAAAACCCCAAACCCAACGCCTTTATATCAAATAACTCCATATAAAAGAATTCTATACATTTTATAGGTAGCTGAGCCCTGGGCTGGGGGAAGCAGCACCCCCAGCATGTGCTTCTGAGCCAGGACACCGGCGATGGCACAAGGGCAGCCGGGCTGGGGGCTTCAGCCCAGCTCCTGCTCGGGTCTAGGAGGACGAGCAGAGTGTCTTTTCCCTCATAAACACCTAAATGGTTTTATGGGGATTTTGACAAGTCAGATTAAGCACCTTAATCAAGACCAACTTGTCGTTTAAATAAGGCCCCTGAGGAGAAATCAGAGGTGCTACGCGTTTTCCCCACCCAACCCCACACATCTGGTGGGTGGAAGGGGCCACACCTGCAGCAGGAGCTGCTCACCCTCCGGCAGTCACCGTCCTCGCCGCAGGGTCTGGTTAGAAGGAGACACATGGGATGGCCCAGCACCTTCAGGGCTCGGTCCATCCGAGCCCAACACCGCGCTCGTGGCTCTCCGCAGCCCCACGGCGTTGGCCAGCCCTCTCCAGGAGGGAGGCTCGTGATGCCAAGGAGGGGCTATGACGAGGTAACCTTTAAACGAACCCATTTAATTCCGGAATTAGGAGGCCCTAGGGGTGCTCTCCTTCCCGGCAAGGCTTCTGGCGCAGAGAGGGGCGATGGGAAGGCGGGGAGGGCTGGAAGGGCACATCGGCGCTCGCTGGTTTGGGATTCGCGCTGAGCTCGTGCTGCTGGCTTGGTTTCAGCTGTCACACGCTATTCCTCAAGCCTCCTAAGGGTGGCCTTTACTTTTTCCATTTTTTTTTCTGAAAGTCCCCAAATTATTTCCCTCGGCTGCCTGAAAGGATTTTAAGAGACTTAAGTGACAGCGTGCTCCCCAGCCCTCGGAGGGGCAGAGGGATTTCAGGGAGGATGACGGGGTTAGAGATGCTCCTGGAGAAAGCCAGTCCCGGTGCTCCCCACCATCACATTTTGGGAGTCAAACAAGCGGATCGAGGTTTACCTCATCTCCCTCAAAGAGACCAGGGAGACAGCAACGCCTTTAAGAGAAGGCAAAACTGGGAGAGGGAACAATTAACCTGCCTCTCAGCCTTCGCTGCTGCATGGATCAGAGGCTTTGGGCGAGCAGCTATGGCAGACGAGGTTGTTCTTCCTCCCCACTCCCTGATGAGCTGTTTTCCACCGCAGCCCGTAGCAGGCACGTTGTGCACACCTGCTACTCCAGGCAGATTAAAAGAAGCTACAATGGGTGTGCGGAGCCCTCCTTCACCTGAAAGGTCCATGAAGCAGGGAGCCCTCGGAGATGGTGTGGTCACGGAAGAGCTGGAACCACCTTCTCCCTTTGCACCACAGACCGGCCAAGGAAGGTCCACAGGTAGTTTACTTATCATTTATTCCTAAGAGATGTCAAAAAGCCCACTTTTTCCTCTCCCAAGAATTCTTTCTGCTGCTTGATGTTAGAGGATGAATTCTTGTCCTGCCTCTGCTGAGTAGCGATGACCGACCGTCAGCCAGAGCCAGATTTAAGGTGTGGAAGTTAAGACGGAAAGATTTCCATTAGTTTTTTGGCAAGACCCACTCAACTCAAGTGGCTGGTTAACACATGGAGCAGAGGAAGAAGGCTTGCTTTAACCCAGCCAACCATTTTAATTAATTTATGAAGACGTTAAAAACTTAGAATACCCAAATACTGCCTTGTAGTTGAACAGAAATAAGGATGAGAAGACCCCCGCTTCAAGAACCCATTTGCAGCTCACTCTGAAAGCAAAAATTCAAGTAAACTATGTGGTGAAGGTTACCAGAAGGCTGTGGGGACGAGGGCTACAGAGGCCTCGCCAGCAGATAGAAGATCTGGTCTTCATGCCAGACGCTGCTATAATTCATGGCTTCCCGTGGTCTCAAGCACACCTCCCCACTAGCCAAATCCCTCGGCTCCTCAACATTTAAAGCATGATTTGCTTTAGATTTTAAAGCCGGTGACAGTCCCTGACCTCCTACAGCTGCTCTGTAAGAACCCGACGCCCGCGGCCAAGTGCAGCACGCAGGCTCCGCGCTGCCGAGAGAAAGGGAAACCCCTCCTGGAGTGCAAGGGAGGAAGATCTCAAGAAAAAGAGTCTCTGTGGGCAGCGGCGGGGACTGGCAGGAGGTGAGATGCAATTCCCTCAGCTGGATGCTGGCCAGGAGGCCAGGGGTAACACCGCTGCCTGCACGCGTGGATGCTGCCAGCACACAAGACGATTCCTCCAAGGCAAGCGCTGCAGCGAGCGCTCCGCGGCAGCCCCGGGCTGCTGCAGGTCCTTGCTGGGTAATTCTGGCCTCCAAAAAGCAGCGAGAAAGGAAAGAGGACTTTTGAACAAGGAAGGAGTTAGATTTGCCTTTCCAATTATCCACTGCTGTCATTATGACCTTCCACAGTTAAATGAAATTACCCTACACAAACAAGGCTCCAGCGCCCGGGTCGAACACTGGCATTAGCAGCCGTCTGCGCTCACTGTGAAGAGCCCTGACATATTGATATTAATTTAAATTTCCCCTTGACCATCATTTTCGATTCCCTCCAGCGCTGAACTTCTTTTTAGCACTGAGGCATGTTCCTCCTACCCTTCTACTAAATGCTTTAAAATTAATTAAAGAGGCTGGCTGGCCAGGCTGGGTTTTAAATTCCCTTTCTCGAAGAAAAATCTGACTCACCCAACACCTCTCGCAGGAACACGAGTGCTGGAGGCAAAACCATTCTGGGGCAGCTTCCAGCCAAGGGCTTTGTAATCCTGTTCTTTCAAAAGAGGAAAATGAGAATAAAGACTGTAAGTGCCCACCATATGCAATTAATTTTCACAGGGAGAGCACTTAAGTGATGGAACAGGTTTCCCAGAGGGACCTAGGAATGTTCGATCATTGCTCGGTTGAGTTGTGAACATCTCCAAGCCCTGGAGCAACCTCATCCAACTTTGAGGCAAGCTCTGCTCTGGGCAGGGGGTTGGACTAGAGACAATCGGGGGTCCCTTCCAAAATCAGTAACTCCCTGACTCTAAAAAGGCTGAAAACATGATAGGGACCATTTACTGGGGAGGCAACAACAACAAAAAAAAATACTGACCAAATGATGTTAAAAAAAAAAAAAGAAGCTTACAGTAATTATACACGACTTAATATGTCAATTGCAAAGAGTTACCTGAAGGAAAGAAAATTAAAGGGATTAAAATAAGGAGCATACCACTTGTGACAAAGAGACAAAGACAAAAAATGCCATTAACTTGTGTTTATGAGCTGCCGTGTTTCTAATTAGGTCCAGACACCAAATTTGCATTTTATCTTGATTGAAACAGAATGAAAACCGAAAAAGTAAAGGCGGCCGATGTTAAACTGTTTTCCCTGTTTAATTCAAGGAGTAACCTTACAGCATTCAAAATAGCTGTTCTTTTTCTTCTGTTTTTAAGATCTCGGCTTCATCGGAGTGATTTCAATTTAAAGCACAGAGGACCTTCAAGTGGGGGGAGAGAAGGAACGAGGTCCCCTGCCAAGCAGCAGCTGCGTGGCACGGTGCCGGGGTACAATGGCAGCCACGACGGCTTGCAAAATAAATTAGCAGGAATCGATAAACAAGCCAGGGGGCTGAGGGAAACCCACACCTGGAACCAGGGGATGCAGCAAGAGCGAGGGCCGTTGTTCCGTTGTTCCTTGCGCCGGCCCTGCCTTTGGAGGTGGCTCGCTGGGAAGGATGCTTTGCACAGCCCAGCCCAGTCAGCCAGCACCAAATTCTCTCGAAATACAGCAAACCAGAATTCTAGCTAACGCTCAGCGGGATGTGTCAGACAGCTGCCATCAGGCAGAAGGAACTGATTTTGTTTCCTTCTGTCACAGTGACTCAGGTGATTCATATGACGGTGACCTGCAGGTAGCACCTCAGAGCAAGACACAAGCTAGCAAGCTCTCTTCTCTCCCCCTCTCTCCTCTCCTCTCCTCTCCCAGGCTCTGGCATGCCAGAAACCTTGGCAGAAAACCAGCCCACAGCATCTGAGGGCCATCCACACCTCTCTTGGAGCGGAGCATCACGTTCCTCCCCACTGGACAAGACTCTCCAGAAGCCGACACTAATTTTGATGTGTCTCACATCCTCCTAGCTTAGAAGGAGCATCTATATCCCTGCTCGAAACAGGCACCAAGACTGAATGAGGACAGGGTCTGTCCCTGACTCTGCTGTAAGGCTTCGTCCCCATTCCTTTGTTCACAACCCCAAGAACATCCTTGTTTTTCGACGTGGGAAGACCACACAGTCCTCCTGGGAGGATCAGAATTGGGCTTTTAAGACCTGGAGGACAGAGACACCTTTCACATGCCACGGGCTAGGGCTCCTTGATGGGTAACCCAAGCCTGTGGCAGGGCCTTGCGTTGCTGACACGGCGAGCGAAGGCCCTGTGGCAATCCCAGCCTGGGAGGGGCGAGGGAGACACGCACGGCCCTGAACGAAGGCGGAGAGATTCTGTTTGCAAACCGGAACGCTTCCCACAGGTATCACTGTATACATTGCACCTTTGCCACCCACAGCGAGGAAAAGATGCTACGCCCACCAGTTCCACTTCCAAGCTCAAAGAGTTCTGGCAGCAATCTCGACAGCTCAGTGCAGCTGCTACTTGTGAAGACCATCTGCACCTTCTTACTCCCCCCGCTAGCCTGCCAACAAAGCAACAACAACTCTTAGCATCATGGTTTATTCCCCCTCCGTATGTACAATTAAGTGTATGCATGACCATTAAAAATAAGGCTACTTATATCATGGCTCTGAAACACATTACAAACCAACTCCATCCCCTCTCTTATTACAACATTCAAAACGCTTGGCTTCCACGGTGTGCGGAGAGGGGCAAACACAACCGGACCACACAGGCAACTGAGTGGTGCAGGGCTTTGGTAACTGGATCTAGAAGGTTCCTCCTCTAGCTGAGGTGGTCAAACACAGCCAGGTCAGGGGGAGGGAGATCGTCATCCCATGACGTCTTGGTGAGGTCAGTCCAGGTCCCAGGCAGCTGCGGGTCACCTCGTCTCAGCACGTTGGTGGTGGCAGGCAGCAGACAGGCCCAGGCTCACGCAGACGGGAGGACAATTTAATCCTCTCCTTTGGAGCCGCCCCTTCGGGTCGAGGCAGGGGCGTAAGGAAAGGAGCAAGGGGAAGCTGCCCTTCTCTTCTTGATGACCAGAGGACGTCAGTCTCCAGAGGTGTCAACCTGGGTGGCATTTCTCAACATTTAATGCATCTAGAAAAAAATAATTAATAAATCAAAGGAACAACCGGATCATATCGTTATGGAATTGCAAGTGAATTGCTTGCACGTCCAGGTAAGGCTTAGAGACTTTCTTTTTCCAATGGGGATGAAGAACAGTCCAGATGAAAGTAACCGGAGATGTGCAACTGAGGACAGCCCTGCGTGGTCCTGTAAGCTCCCTTCCCAAGTAAATCTGTTCCCGTATGCAACAAGAGAGAATCTTCCAGCTTCAGCTTGTGGCTCAATAAATTTTATTATTCCTTTTTGTTTTTATTTAAAAGAATTTGTTTTCCTATCATAAAAATTAGACAACCATACCACCACCACCAGCAGCAGCAAAGTCTGTGGAGTTAATGTTGATGGCAGACAGTTCACTGGTGTTTCCAGTGTCTCAAAATGTCCTAGAAAATCCATAAATGGAAAAAAACCCAAACATGATGGTTTTGGGGAGGAACATCAAGGTGGTTTCGGTTTCTTGTCCCACTGAGGATCCCAGATGAATACTGTAGCGTATCAGCAGGACCAAGTACCTCATGCCTTGAGAGAAAACCCTTCATACCAGCTCCAGTACCTGATTAGTAGGGAAGACGAGACATTTAGAATGGGAATTTATGACATTACCTCCTACATCAGCATATACATCACTAGGAGAGGACTGACCCTTCTGTCTCCACCCCTTGCCCTCTATTCACCAGCATGCAAAAATATCACGCAAATGGGATAAGCACTTGGCAAGGATCCTGGTTTTGATGTTTGCTTGTGCTAGGATGATTACAGCACGGAGCAAAACCATCCACAGTTGCCTCATTTCCACTCATCCCAATCAACCAGCTCTTCGAAATCTTGTAATGGAGATCAGAGATTTTGTCCTCTGTGCTCACATTTCCCTCATCCACGCTAAGATGGTGCAGCAGCCGCTGAAGGCACGGTCTAGAGACGGCAGAAGAAAAGTGACTAAGAGGGTGGTCAGAGCCTGTATTAACCTGGTTTGGTTTCACTGGGGAAAACTCTAGAGCTTTAGCTCATGGGTGCAGCCTGGCACGGCACCTGCCCCCAGAATCGAGTGGGTTTGTGCAAAGCCAGTCCTTTCCCAGACCTCCCCACCTTCCTCCTGCGTGCTGCCAAAGGCAAGTGGAAATACCAGAGTTCTGACAGCCCTGGCTGTTTGTGCATTTCTCTCTCTACCTTCTCTCATTGACAAGCAAAGTGCATGAGCAAAACGTCTCCTCTCTAATCAGTCTCCTGTTGCTGCTGGACCCGCTTCAAGATATCAAAAGCGTCTGTGCATTTTGTCCATCTGACCAAAGTAATAAGTAACCAGTTCCAAAATCTGCTAAATAAATCACCAATGAAAGAGAGGCTACAGCATCACATGCAGCAACAGCAGGAGTAACTAGGCCACTTGTGGCCTAAAAAGGAGAAAAAAAATAAATCTTGACATGCAGTCAAACACCGACCACTCGGGTCTCTCCCCCTTCCTGCTTTTTTGGTGATTTTTCCAGGACTCTTCAGACCAGCAACTCTGGTCTGGCTCCAGAGAGCTGCTATTGTCACAGGGATGCAAGGGGAAATCAGGACGAAGACAACAGCTTCATGAGAGTGCCAATCCGGCGTGTAACTTTGCAAACAGCAAGTAAACCCCTTTATCAGCAGCTACAGAACGCTGCCAGGGCTCTGGGCTACAAGCTTATGGGGTTAACCACCAAGCCTGAAAAGCACGGTGGAGCTCAATGCTGCTGTGTATAATTGGGGATGGCATCAGAGCTGGGCTTCTCTGGAGGATCAGCACCAGTTTGGGCTTGGGTACTGGTTTTGCTTGGCTGTCTGATAGACATGTAAAGAAGGACAAAGTCTTTTCCTTATTACGTGCATTTCACGGAGAGAAATACATTGAACAGACACTCTGGAAGACTTTTAAATTCAAGTGCTGAAAACCTGGCAAAACGCTGGTGCCTGGGTGGACGGGGAAGGCTGTTGCTTCCACAAAACCCCGCGCTGGCAGCTGCTGTCTGTTACAGCCAGCCCGGGCGTCAGGAGTAAGCAAAGCCAGGGAGCGTCCCTGCTCATTTCACTCATTTCAAACATTGCTCCAGCCGGCTGCACATCAGGAGCAAGGCTTTCATCTCTGCTGCACCCCGCGGCAGCGGCAGCAGCTGGAGGACGGGCTCTGGTAGTGAACGCACGGCCTCTGCTGCCACGAGAACCAGCGTGAGCCTGGGGAGATGCCTGTGCCAGACTCTCTGTGCTACCAGCACCCCAAGGAGCACCGGAGGCACGTTGGGTGCTGGATGGCTGCCACCAGCTTTTCCACACCTTGCTTTAACTGGGTTTCATTGCCCGTGTGCTGTCTGCTTGCTCCGCCGTGCGCCAGAGGCAAATGGATCATTTAAATTACAAACTTCTACAGCTGGGATGACCTCCTCTAATGGCTTCTCCTGGCTGTACGGTTTCTCTGACCTTGCTCTTTACTAACAGATTCAAATGTTTCAAGATGAGATGCATGAAATAACTTACCTTAATTGTACCCTGACTGTTAGCAGCAATCAGCACATTGGACTCCTGGAAAAAAAGAAGAGGCACTATCACAATCTGCCACTGCTTTTTTTTTTTTTTTTTTTTTTCCCCTTCCTTCTTATTTTTTGGAAGAAGCAGCAGAGAAGAAACAGTTCTTTTTATATTAAGCATTAGAAGTATATCTAATTTCAAAGGGACTTAACTCTTTCCATTTCCAACATGCTTTCGAGCCTAAAAGTCTTTATAAAAGTTATACTACCTTGAAGAATTAAAAAGCAATAATCCTTGGTGCTTGTACAGAGCTTTAAATCTCCAAAGCAATTTACAAACATGAATTAATCCTCGCAGTCTCCCTGTGAAGTGGGCAAATAATAATCATTTTCATCTTTTGGCAGTGTAAGGACAAAGGTCTCCAGTGCCCTAACTAAACCAACTAATCACCGTGACAAAACCTCTCTGGCTCTGAGGCCACGCAACCTCTCCCACAGCCAAGAGGTTTCAGACAAGTGAAACAAAGAGGAGAAGAGATTAGAGAGCAATAGCACATCTACCCAATTTGGGAGGGAAGATAAACAGGGAGGACTCCAGCCCTGCTTTATGTAGAAAGGCAGCATCTCTTCACCTCCTGCCAACTGATAGGAGCTGCCTTTGGAGGTATCCTGCCTGTCTACAAATTAACAGCCTGCTGCCTCAGTCAGGCAACCCCCTGGCAAAAACTGGGGGAGACAGCCCTCGCTCTTCAGACTGTATTCCTGAGGCGATCAGCAAGTAGAGACGCACCCTCCCAAACCACAATCGCTCAGACAGGGGGGAAATCCAAAGGAACGATTAGGTGTCAATAAACCTAAAAGATGTAAGTGCTGGAGATGGCGAGGTTGAACCACTGCTCCCAGACCCGTGTCCCGTGTCTGCCCTTGTGCCAGCAGCTGTAGCGTAGGCTGCCAAACCGCCCGCCGTGAAGCCTCTTCCTCTAAAAACAGCTGATATCTTTTCTCAGACACATTTTTCAATTTCTCTTGCTGCTGCTATCCGTCCCCAGACAAACTTGCTGCAATTATCCCATCGCTTAATGCAAGCATTTTTAATAATCTCAGTGACTAGAATACGCCCCGTGCCACAGGGAACGGAAAGGCAGCTCGACCAAGCCCCAGCAGGGTTGTGTGATGCCTTCCCATGAGGTTCGGGACTTTGCACAGACACCAGCTTCGAAGCAAAGGGAGAAAAATCCTTTTCAACACAAGATCCCAGTTATCGGGTAAGAGTAGCCTTGTGGTGGACCACTGGGCTAATTGTTATAGATAGATTTGTTCACCCCTGGTAAAATCATTAGGGGATTAGTTAAGACTCCTGATATTATCTCACCAATGATCCTCCAAGTCACAGCTCCTGAAAAGAAAGTATATCCTCAAAGGAAGCATATATTCCAATTTCCATTAATTTGGTGGCTAAGAGAGTCTAATCCTGTGAACCGCTCAGCTTCTGGTTAACAGCATTAAAATGAAAACCCACAAAGGGAAATGCAGATATAAATGTGATTTGGGGACTAAAACAAGGACAGAGATGCCCGATAGGATTTTGGAGGTGAGGGAGGGGCACCAGCAGCTATCTAGTGTGCAGTGCAAGAGATACGAACTCCTGAGTACAGATGATCCTGGGTTTGAATGATTCCTATTTGCATGGTGAGTGATTGGTAATTCATCCTGCTGCTGCAGTCTGCTGGGGTACCACTGTAAATGAACTCTGGTTCAATGAACAGTTTTACCTGCTAAATAAAATAAAAATGCCAGAGGGTAATATACTCTCACTCCCTTATTCTTCAGAAGCCATTGTTTTTTTTTTTTTTTTTTTTTTTTCCAGCAGGGTCTGAGCTAATCACCGCTCTGCTGCTTTCATCCACAACCATGAGATGCAAACGGGAGCAGACAGCAGCAAAATTAGCACCAAATCTGTCATGGAACAAACAGTGACTTGCTTGTTAAGGCATTCTAGCACTGCTTCCGCGGGAACACAGCTAAGTAACTTGTTTTGAATCCTCTAAAGAAACAATTCTCTTCCTTTTGTGCTGCCTGTAAAACAGCCAATACATTCAACACATTAAACAGCTAAGCAAGTCGTGAAGTTGCTTAGGTCTGTAGGCTGGTAACTCGTGACAGCCGTGTGCACGTTGAACCAGTCCTTTTGCCAGGACATGTATGAGTAGAGTCACCATGTCCTCAAAAGACAACACCACCACGACCACTTCACTGGCAGAATACCTATTTCCCCTGCTGCAGCACTACGAGCATCTATGTATCTCAGGCATGACAAACAGGGTATCACCATCCATTGTGGCTTCATGTTCTACTTTACCATCATCACACTTAGAGTTTCTACTCAGGGCAAGAAGGTTGAAAGGCTGGCTTTCCTTATCCCTCCCAAATTTGTTGTCTGCAGGAGTCAGAAACTACCGAAGCAGAGGTAAGGGGTATGTTGGGGGATCCACCCTGACCGAGTCCTTCCAAGGTGAGGTGAGGGAGTCCCTCCAAGAAATCAGTTATTAAAATGGCTCTTCTATGCATGCACTTCCTCCTATGAGTGGTTAGCAGCTCTATCCCTTCTAAACAGGAGAGGCAGAAAGTGCCAGCTGCCTTTGCTAAAACAAGATTGAAGGAAAAAATGAACACGAACACACACACACCCCCCCCCCAAAATCATGAGGCTTTACCACCTGGCAAGCAACAGCATTTTATTCCATGCGGCTGCTTATCTCAAGTATTACTGGCACCCCGGTGGAAAGCCACCGGCTGTGTAACATGATGAAATGTGGCAACCCCTCCTCTGCACATCGAGGCAGATAAGGAGCGATCAGTTGGAGACGTGGTGCGGTGCATTCGGGTCCCCTGCGATGAGATAACGTGGCATCTCAACAAGCCTGGGACAGCTTGACGGGAGATAACAGGACCAGAACTCTGAAGCTAAGTCAACAGAAAAGAGCAAGGCTCTGGGGATGTCAAAAGTATGCATCTTCTTGTCTCTTGGCATTACATATGAATACAGAAAGATTGACAAATGCAGGTGCATCACAGGAGTCATGTTAATCTTAATACAGGGTGCAGGTCCAGAACTGCTCTAAGATGCTTCAGGGCTGAAGTCCTGCGCTAAGACTTACAAACAACCTCCCACACATGCCAACTTGTTCCTTGACTGCAGTGACAGTATTATGGGAAGTCTGAAGGACAGTTCCTTGACATTGGGAAGGACTTGACTCCACCATAAATCTTTGTTATTGCCTACAGACTGGATGCATATCCACAGAGGCAGGCATTATGCAAAAATCAAATTGTAAGTCAGTTCTGAGAGCAAAGACAGATCAGAGAGAAGCACCTCTGTCCTGAACCTGACACGTCCCCTTCTCCTGGATGTGGCACTGGATGAACACAACTGGTTGACCCACAGGAACTTAAAGCATTTGCCCTTGGGATCTGAAGGGACTTTCATTGACTGAACCAAAAGAAATTTCTGCAGCATATTCTTGATGGCAAGGAAAAACAAAATCAAATTTAGGACCTTCTTGGGTAGATGGGATACCTGCTACATTCATCATTCGAAGGAATTATGCACCCAGTGACAGCTGGGTTTTGAAGCACACTGATTTTGCTCCCTCCTAGATGAGCCCTGTATTTGGATGGCCCTGGTGAAGCCATTTATACAGGGAAGGAAGGGAGGAGAAGGAAAGTCTGGCTGCCTGCTGGTATTCATGCAAGAGCAGTCGGCATTAAAATAATCGGAAATGCTCTGGCTGTTTCGTGAAGCTTGAGGAAACTCAGCTGAGGTTGTAGCCCTTCCACTCTTTCCTTACATCTTTGTGCAAGAAAACATTGCAGGAGGGTGGAACTAAATGAACATCATCTCAGATGGGCAGCTGTTAAAACCACAGACACATCACCTTGGAGGGACACACACTGATACTCAAGAGGACTCCACTCTGCGGAGCAAGGGAAAGCTCCAGACAGACCCTCTAGCTAAGCTGTAAATCCATCCTCCCAGTAGCTGGGAGGCTTGGGTCTAGCCATCCCTCTTCACTAATAAAGAGCCACCATGGATGTGTGCCTGCAGCTGCAATGCTCCAGGAGTTAAGCACCCCTCTTGCCAGCAGGCTTGTGCAAAATCACAGCTGGATATTTTATTGTCTTCCTTTCCTGACACAAAACAGGGAGCCTGTCCTAAAGGGGCTCAAAATAGGCAAGATGAGCACAAATCACTTGCATTTTTTTCCCCTCCCCCCCCTTAGTATAATCCTTTGTGAGGCCATTCCTCATCTGTTATCCCACATATATCAATCCTTAAAGTAAATTCAGAAGCTCACACTGAAGGAAAAGCTGGAGCACGGTCTGTACAAAGGAGCCTGGATGCCGACTTTGAAACATCTCGGGTGCCCCTGTTGGGAGTGAAACTGTCAACCAGAACGTTTATATATGGACATAACGTACGCTTTATAGTTTGTAAATGCAGTAGTTTTGTGAAAGCTAGTCTTGCCAGGAACAGAATCGGAGTACTCAAAGGTGTGGAACTGCAGTGGGTGGCTAACAACCGTGGCTTTGACCCTGTAAGCCAACACGTAAGAGACACAGCAGCACTCCTCTGTGTCGTTAGCCTGACAAAATGAACCCTTAAACAAACTTAACTGACTGTTTCCTGCGAGACCCATGCTGAGGAAGGAAAAAAAGCTTGGCTAAAGCAGAAATGATCCAACGTGGACTTACTTCCTACTTTTGCACTCTCCCCTACCTTCTACAGGATACCAGCAATAACACAATGGGCTGAAGAAATTGTTCCTTAGTATCTTAAAGATGCCAACGGCGAAGCGAGATGTGTCTCCAAGTTATATGTGCATGTGTTCATGTGATGGACTCAAAAATCTTATTTGGGACTTTCACCATGTTATAAATATTCAGTTTGTCCCTCTTTGTTATCCCCTCTTTTCCGCACAAATAAAGCATATTCGCTTCAAACTTCCTGTGCCGTTGTCACTGAGGTAAGCATGAATTTTCTGGATCTTCAGCTAG